TACACTCTCCCACTACTCACTTCCACTTCTCTTACCTTCTTCACTTCTCCAAAGCGTCGGCAATTCGGCCTCTCTTCCTCACCATTTTTCGACACTTTTGCTTATTCATTTTTCAAGCGACGAAAACAAATTCTGAGCTCCGATCTTCAGCTGCAATGCAAAAGGTATTACATTTTCATCAATTAGTTCGTTTCCACCTTTAATTCTTTTTATTTTGTGAATGTTTCGTGGGTTTAGATTTTTTAATTAAATTTTTAGATCTCAATTTCATGTTCTTTGTAGATCGATTCATTTTCTTTTGCTATATTATTGCTGAATTTAGTTTTGTCACAATTACTAAATATAGTAACTGTATATTGAATATAGAATTTTTGGGTGTTTAGTTGTTGGGTAAAATTATGTTGTTTTCTTGTTCAATTTCTTATTTTGATGATTTGTTCTTGGTGATTTCAATGTTTTTGCTGATTTTGCTGTGAATTTGATTTGTTGGGTTTCAGTGAAATTTAGGGTTTTGGGTTGAAGGTGTGATAGGTAAAAATGATGGGACGTTCTCCTCTTTTGAGGACTGGAAGTTTGAGGCCCGAAAACTTGGGTCAACATGCTTTAGCTATGATTGGAAATGTGTGTTTTAGTATCTTTGTTGTTGGGGTTTTGATTTTCACCATAATTGCTGCCACTTACGAACCCGAGGATCCCCTTTTCCATCCATCTGATAAGATCTCTACATTCCTTACATCGAACTCGAATGCCACGTTCGAGTCTGATAATACTGTCTTAAAGACTGGGGAGGATTTCATGGCGGCGAATCAGACTGCTTTTAACACTTTTATAAACATTACTGATGTAGCTGATAATGCTGAATTCGCATCTAATACTGGTACTGATTGTGGCGGTGAGGTTGGTAAAGCGATTGATTGTAAGGACCCGGAAGTTTTTCATACTATGATGAGAGCTGCTATTGAGAAGTTTAAGGATATCCATTTCTATCGATTTGGGAAGCCGGTCCGTGGTTCGGATGATAATAATTGTGATATGGCGTGGCGGTTTAGGCCTAAAGAGGGGAAGACTGCATCGCTTTATAAGGATTATCGGAGATTTGTGATCTCTAAGGCTGAGAATTGCTCTTTGAGTGTGACTGATATTGGTGAGTATCACAGTGGAGTTAATGCGAGGAAGAGGAAGCCAAAGAAACAAGCTGTCTTTGAGAAAGAAGGCCAACAAGGTGAAGTTGGTGCTTTGCCGGTTGTTGGGGAGATGGTAAATGATAGTCTTCCTGTTGTTGAATCAGAAGCAGCATTTAAGAATGGCAAATACTTGTACTATGCTGGGGGTGGAGATCGTTGTAAGAGCATGAATCACTACCTTTGGAGTTTCTTGTGTGCGCTTGGGGAAGCTCAGTATTTGAACCGTACTTTGATCATGGACCTGAGCATATGCTTATCATCTATGTACACAAAGACAGGTCAAAATGAGGAAGGGAAAGATTTTCGATTCTATTTTGATTTTGAGCATCTTAAAGAGGAAGCCTCAGTATTGGACCAACTCCAGTTTTGGACTGACTGGAATAAGTGGCAGAGGAAAGATAGACTGAGTCTTCATCTTGTTGAAGATTTTAGGATTACTCCAATGAAACTCAAGGATCTGAAGGATACTTTAGTCATCAGAAAGTTCGGTACCGTTGAGCCGGATAATTACTGGTACCGAGTGTGTGAAGGAGAGGCAGAATCTGTTATCCAGAGGCCGTGGCACATGTTGTGGAAGTCTAGAAGGTTGATGGACATTGTTTCTGCAATCGCATCAAAGCTAAACTGGGACTATGACTCTGTTCATATTGTGAGAGGAGAGAAAACAATGAACAAAGAGCTCTGGCCTAACCTTGACAGGGACACCTCACCTGGCTCTCTTCTTACTACACTGAAGGACAAGATTGATGAAGGAAGAAACCTCTATATTGCAACAAATGAGCCTGACAAGTCATTCTTTGACCCATTGAAAGACAAGTACACAACCCATTTTCTCGATGAATACAAGGATCTTTGGGCAGAAAACAGTGAGTGGTCTTCTGAGACCACTAAACTCAACAATGGGGCTCCTGTTGAATTTGATGGCTACATGAGGATATCAGTTGACACAGAGGTTTTCTTGAGGGGAAAAAAGCAGCTCGAGACTTTCAATGACCTCACTAGTGATTGCAAAGATGGGGTAAACACTTGCAGCACTTCCTCTAGTTAGTTATAATATAGTGCTCTCTGTTATTGTCAAATTGATTCTGTTATCTTAGAAAGTCTCATTTGTTTAATTCATACCCTCTTGATTCTATCTGCTTCCACTTGTTATGGTAAAATACCTTATCCCAAAGGCGAGGATATTAATTACAGAGCATGAGTCAGCAGGCTATAAATTATATGTAGGATTAGTTCCGAGAAAAGACCATAGTTTTGTTGTATTCGTCACTCCTAATTTGTTGTATTTATCATTTCCCAATTTGGTTTCTGGCTCACAATTACCTTTTCCTGCTGTTTAGCAGCTATATGTTATAGCTCTTTGGGTTTTTTGTAGATTGATTAAGTTTTCAAATCTCAACTTTATCCTGTACATGAAGCAATCGCCTAAAGAAAAGAGGTTAATGTTGATTGATCTTCATTAGCATTGTTTGGTTGTTCTTCAAACCGACCAAAATTTACGAGCACATCGTTTTTTCTTTGTGGATGGAACTATGATGCAAGATGCAACCCTGCCCCCCCCCCCCCCCCCTCAAAAAAAAAAAAAAAAAGAAAAAGAAAAAAAGTCATTGCAATAGCAATACATATGATTATGTAACTAAACATTGATTTTTGTGGTTAAATGAGGATTGAAACTTTGGCTAAAACTGATAGAACTTGGATACTCGATCACATTGTAGGGTATGTACACTTTTATTCAGTTAAATGTTTTTAACAGCTTATCAAATTTTGAAAATGGAATTGACAAATAAATTTAATCAAAACCCCTATTTCAAACTTACCTGACCTGAAAGGCTGAAACAAGTTCAACCATCCTGTCTAGCATAAAATTAGCTTAAATTTGCTTAGCATCATGATATCGCTCTTTTCTTGTTTTAAGGTAACTGAAAGTCTTAAACATGGAAATTTCCAAAAGGCTACTTGCTTTATAGATCGTTACTCAAGTACTGTAACGATATGACATATAGCTTGGACACTCACTAGATTTATTAATACTGTATTAAGTAGGAAAACTATGAAGGACAATGGTTTCAATAGTAAAGCCAGGGCCAAACCGTAACAAGACGCCCCAGTCCAACCCCTCTCCCGTAGTAGCATTGTATTCTTTCAATGATTGCTTCCTCATCTCATCCATTACGAAAATTACAGTTGCACCAAAAATGTTTACAAACTCACCAAGGACGTGCCAACTGCGAAGCAGTGTAAGTTTGTTGGCCTGGAGCCCAAGTTTTGATTGCACTTGGCCTAGAACTCCAGGTCCTCCAGGATGACTGATCCAAAATATGGAGTTCCAGTAATTGATCCCAATAGGGTCAAAGGCCGTAATTAAGGCCTTCTCAATGTTGTTAGATATTATTTCTGAGAGATTTGGCCAATTTTGTATGGTTAGTCCAGCTTCTCGCAGGTGCCCCTCAAGTGCCCCTTCTGAGTCCGGCAAAGGCGGCAATATTGTCTGGGCTGTCGACACCAGCTGATAGATAGGTTGATGCTTGTTGGAAAAATACGACGAGTGAACACCTATGATCACAGCCCCTGCTCCATCTCCAAAGAAGGCTTGAGCTACCAAAGAGTCCATGTCAGTCTCTGAAGGTCCACGAAACAACATGACAGTGTTCTCGGAGCACACAACAAGCACGCGAGCTCCAGGGTTGTTCTCTGCAAGGTCTTTGGCTAGGCGAAGAGACGTTCCACCAGCATGGCAACCCTGTTGGGTAGCATGTAACGCTTTACTGAAGGATTAAGGCCAAAAAGCTTTGTGAGATGGTAATCACTCCCGGGTACGGTATGCTAACGATCGAGGTGGTGCAGAATATAACTTGGGTTGCCCCCACTCTTCTATGGCCTTTACGGCTGCCTCTTTCCCGAGTTTCGTAAGCACCGTAGCTTGGATCGCTTCGCGAGCATTTAACGAAGATGCGTTGTAGTCACACATTTGTGGATCTTCTTTCAAGATCTCCTCACTTATGTGCATGTAACGCTTCTTGATCATTGATTTCTCACCTAAATACATAAAATCGTGTTATTAATAGCCTTGTTTATGGGACTTGTTATTCATCGCCCGCAAATCTCTACATAAAGCCCACATTTTATAATTTTTTGACAAATTTGCCCTTTTTATAATTTTAACGGAAGATAAATTTTTCGCACTAAAAAAATGTGGAGCAGCACCGGATCGCCGAGGATCACCGGAGAATCGCCGTCGTCATCGGAAAACGAGGTTCGTAACGCATCGTAAGAACGGGTCCATTCAGTCAGAGACTTGATGATACGTATGAGACGCATAGGGTAGATGTGCGTAAGGGTCGAGATGGTAGGTTTGTTAGTAGATCTATAAAAATTCTAATCACGTAAGATCTTGTTGAATTTGTGTCATTATTATATACATTCTAGATACTAGTTTTAATATCAAGTGTAATGGAGCATGACTTTTAACCATATGAAAATGGAGATATACTCCATATACGAAGGGGCTGCTCTTTTCAGCTTATTTTAAGTTTTGTTTAATTCAGCTTCAATCAGTTCAGTTCGTAATTTTCTACTCTCATAAATATTCTGTTCAGTTTAAATCCAATCAGTTCAGTACAGTAAATCAGAACAGGCCCAAAGTACTTACGTTATAAAATACGGAGTACGTTTTTGAAAATGTCGTACGACATAAGTCAATAAAAAAAAAAAGAGACTGAGGGCTTGTTCTCATTGACTGAACTCAGTTGAACTGAACTCGAGTTGAGCTGAACTGATCTGAACTAAAATGAATATTTTACAAGAGAAGAAAATTAGGAGTTGAACTAAACTGAACTGAGCTGAAATGAATTTCAACATATTAAGGGAATATACAATTACAATAACTCTGTACGGAGTACATTTTCATTTGTAATCCGCGCTTTAAAAAAAATCGAATTTTTTATTCTTCCCTCTAAAAAATCACCTCAAAAATTTGAACCAAAACAACCCTACTAATCTTCTTGCTACCTCTTTCTCTCTCAATCTCTCTCCTCTTTATCAATCATCTCTGCCCAAAATCAATTTGATGATTGGTAAAAAGCGTCCAAGTGTTTCTTTGAGTTCTACTCCCGATAATAATCATGTAAGTCTTCTAATTTTACTCATAACTTAGTATTTTTATCATAATTGTTTCAATTTTTCAAACTTTTAGGGTTTGATTTGATGTAAATTGTTCAAAAGTATAGGAGCTAGAAACCTTGTTTGATTAGGGTTTTTATATTTGTTGGGTTGTTTAATGTCAATTTAATCATCATTTTAATTTATTATTTATGATTTGGGGCTATAATTCTGTAAATATTGTTTCAATAATCTTGCATTGAGATTATACTGCTGTTTTATTGAAAATTTAGTAGCTTTTGATATATTAGGGTTTTGTTAGGTTGATGTAACTGAGTCAAGGTTATAGGAGGTAGGAAGATTGTTATTGTATAGAATTCTTTTTGGTTAAATAGAACAGTTGATGTTTATTGGATTTTGGGTATATTGAAGGATAAATTATCGGTTTCGAAGACGGTGAAGAGCCAAAAACCATTTCCGTTTCCGGGAAAGGAAAACATTTCCCCATCCTTAACGACTTGTAAGGGGATAGCTGAATTCAGTGAGGCATTTTATCGAACACAAGGCGGGTGTTGTCCTTCATTGGATATTCAGAGTGAACCTATTTCGAATTCTGGAGAAACTGATTCAAGTACTCAATGGTTGGATTCCTGCTTCGGTAGCAGTCTTGATGAGTTGGATTCAGTGATACTCGAAAATTCCGATTACCCTTGCAAATCTCCTTGTCAACTTAGTAGTCCTGATCATGGTAGTGGTGAGCATGTTTCTGTCAAATCTCATTCTATTGAGTCCAGGTTGTTGTCCTCCTCATCGTTGTCTGGTAGAAATGGAGATGGGCATGGACAAAATATTGGTGGCTGTGATGATGAGGACGACGAGGACTTTGAATCTAACACCCAATTTGGTGTGTTAATGAGGTTGTGCTCTGAAGAAGATGATTTTAACCCTCATGATCCTGAGCCTGAATTGGTGTGTCCCTTGTGTGGGGTTGACATTTCGCAATGGGATGAAGAATCTAGGCAATGTCACGCTAATGGTTGTCTTGACAATTTTGTCACACCAAAGGTTAGTAATTTAAGCCCTTACTTTTGTTCAGATGTTAATTTGTGTTTTAAGCCTGACTTATTAAGTTATTAGTTGCTATATTTTAAATACTTTGAATCGATAATGTATAAAGCTTGGCCAGGCTTTGACAACTCATTGTTTAAGAGCCTTTTATCATGTGATTTTATGTAGATCTTCCTTTTGTATTGATTAACATTTTTGAAGATCTTCTGTTTGTATCGATTAAATTTCGCCTTAAGGATGTGCTTAACAAGCATACATAATGAGTTTAGTAATAGATACGTCTTTCCTTTTTTTAGTTGCATCACTTTTGTAATTGTGGACTCCTAGACAATTATTGGAGTAGAGAGAGATAGAGATAAAAATAAAAAGGTTCCTTGTGATAGGAAAGAGATAGATAGAATTTATTAACCAAAAAGGAAAGTGATGGATTAGAATTAAAACTTCCATTTTTTAGAAAGTGATGCATCTTATAAAAAACAGAGGAAGTACAAATTATAAGCTAGAGAAAAGTACCTAGGAGGTATATGGACTCGTTTGTCATTTACAAGTAGATGTCAAGAGATGTATAATTTCACATTTTAAACTATATTTTCCTCTGGGTTTACCTCATAACTACTCATATAAACCAATGTATTCACATTTTGCCCCTATTTGAATCCGTCTTTATGATGTGGCTCTTGTGAAATGATCTGTTGAAAATCTCTTTTTACTTTAAAGAAGATATCTCTGTACTTTGATTAGATCCCAAAACTTTGCACTTTGCTAACCGTCTTGTACTTAAGGAGATTCCTCTTCTAATACTTGGGGAAAATGTTTGGATTCATTAATCTAGGAATATATCTTAATCTGAAGGGTGAAGCTGATATACAGGCAATATAGCTTTGAGTAGTAAGACTAGTAACTAGCAATTGCCTCCATTTATTTTGCATGTGCCTATGCTTAATCAAACTACTGCTATGAGATTAAGAAAATTATAATTTTCATGCTATGCAACTTGTCTAGTTTCCTACAATATGTTCTTTTATCAAAACCCTTGATTAGATTGGAAATCTTGTTGATGATGAACTTAGTCTCAAGCAATATATTTAGTAGAACAATTGTTGATTAATTCTAATCCTAGTAGGTACAGTAGCTTGATACCACTACTGTCTCATGTATTGTTTTTTATATTTATATATTAAAGTCCTACCTACTAATATAGTTCAAATGGAGGGAGGGAGAATGGTCATATTGTGCATGTGTTGATGACTTGCATCACCACACCTTTTTTTTAACTAGCAACTCTTCCATGCATAATTTTTTCTAAGCCTTCATAGTTCTGCTTAAATGCGGTGACACTCTCATCAAACTATGTTTTAAAAATTGTAGATTTGTTACAGGAAAATTCTCCAGGTGTTGCAAAGAAACAATCTTCACAATGTTCTGACAAGCCTTCTGTTCAATCTCCCGAACAAGCCCCCGAACAAGCCACTGCTGTGGCTTCAGTCATAAAATGGCTACACAGTCTGGATCTTTCCAAATATGAAGCAGCTTTCATTCAACATGAAATCGACTGGGAATCCCTGCAATGGCTAACTGAGGAGGTATGCTTTGTTAGGTCACTTCTGATCTATAGTAAACCATAGGCGTTAAGATTTTTTTTGTGGATGGTAAGGATGTAAATAGCATTGTGCTGGGCTAGCGCAAAGCACTGTTCAACGTAACGCTATTATGGCATGGTCCAACCTGTGTGTGGGCTAAGGTTTAGGGAATTGGTACGGTATAGCATGAGGCTTGGTTGGTGGCACAAACGTGGCTTAATAATTAGAAATACTTTTAAAATATGATATCACCTTATGACAAATATATGTTATGTATCTAACTTTCCAATACAAATTATACAATAGAAATTATTACCCTGTGACTTCGTTTCAAAAAGTTAAAGTTATTGTTATAATTATTTAAACACTATAAACCATCTATACTACTAAGTCCAAGCAATTTTTTCACTTCTCAAAGGCATGTCCAGCAAATGGCCAGGTTGGGCCTAGGTTGAGGTGTTGTTTGGGACAGTACAGCACTGGCATCTGTTTGACTGTCTTAGTTTCGTCCTAATAAGGACCAGAGTCATCAGATACTAGTCAGATCTGTAGGTGTGATATGGAAACCTATAGCTTAGCTTTTTTTTTTTTTTTTTTTTTTTTTTTTTTTTTTTTAAAATTTTTGTAACTTGTGGGTTAGAATTTGATTTTGTGACCTAGGGAATTATAACTTGGTTGTGAATCGAAAGAATAGTTACTATTGTACTACCTCCGTTAACATTTACTTGCAACTTTGGAATATATTATGTCTCTCAAATAATACCCCAAAGTTGCAAGTAAATGTTAACAGAGGTAGTTTTATTTATACAGGCCTGTTTTAAAGTAACCAAATTTGATGTATATTCATTCATTGCAGGATCTTATCGCTATAGGTATAAATGCACTTGGCCCCAGAAAGTAGGTGTGATATGGAAACCTATAGCTTAGCTTTTTTTTTTTTTTTTTTTTTTTTTTTTTTTAATTTTTGTAACTTGTGGGTTAGAATTTGATTTTGTGACCTAGGGAATTATAACTTGGTTGTGAATCGAAAGAATAGTTATTATTGTACTACCTCCGTTAACATTTACTTGCAACTTTGGAATATATTATGTCTCTCAAATAATACCCCAAAGTTGCAAGTAAATGTTAACAGAGGTAGTTTTATTTATACAGGCCTGTTTTAAAGTAACCAAATTTGATTTATATTCATTCATTGCAGGATCTTATCACTATAGGTATAAATGCACTTGGCCCCAGAAAGAAGATTCTGCAGAGTCTCAAACATCTCAGGAAAGACAATGGTCCTGAAGAACAGGGAAATGGCGATTCTGAATGTTTGGTTGATGTGACTAAGAAGCCAACCATGAACAAGCTGATTACAGAATATTTTTCAAGTCCTTCTGGGGTGAAGAAAAAATTGCCAAAGTCAAGACAGCAGATGGAGACAGCTAAATCAGTCCCTCGACAGAAGAAGATTCCAGCTAAGAGTGGCCCCAAGGGAAAAAATAAGGTTGTTCCTCCATGGTGTTGTATTCCAGGAACACCATTTCGAGTGGTAATTCTTATGAGCTCTGTTTTCTGTACTAAGTTTTCAATAATTCATGATTATTTGTCCTTGTCAATGAATTTTTTTAGCCTTTTAGCCTGTTACATATTTGTTGACGATCTTACTCAATCCCTCTGAAAACACTGGATTATTCAACTATACTTTCAAAATTTCTGCAGGTATTTTTTAACAGGCTCTTATTTTCTGCAGGACGCATTTCGGAACCTTCGAAGTGAATGTTCTCATTGGTTTCTAACACATTTTCACTTAGACCGTAAGTTACCTAGCTAGCGTTCTTCAAGGATAATATGTTTTGAGCTTAATTGTTTATCACCTTACTTTGTTTTGTCTAGTGCCTGTCTGCATTTTGGTGTCTTGAGGTTCTGATCAGTTCCACTAAAGTAGAGATCCTCAATCCCATTGTTTGTCTCATCTTGTATTCAATTATTTATGATTATGGTATATCATATATATGCACGGTCACAGATGCACCAATGTCATTTAAGATCTTATATGTGATTAAAACAAGCTTTTCCATGTTCTACCTCCGTTTCTAATTATTTGCAACTTTGGAGGGTTGCACGGACTCCTAGGCAAAACTTGTTTGAGTGTTAAATGGAGAGAGAAAGAGATGCATGTGATGGGGAGAAAGATACAGAGAAATGACAACTTAAAATGGAAAGATAGCATTTGTTGCAAATAATATGAAGCATCCATTTTTGGCAAATGTTACAAATAATATGAAATGGAAGAAGGACATTATTTTTACAACGAATTATTTCATTATGTGGTATTTGATCCATTTTATCATGATCGACAACACTATAGGGCAATACTTGTTAGATTCGTGTGAAATAGGGGCAATACTTGTTAGATTCGTGTGAAATAGTCTAGTGAGATACTATTATGGGACAGAGATATTCATTGCTTGGGGCCAGCTTATATTTCAGAAAATCATAATTTGTTGTGCAGATTACCAAGGGCTGACAAAATCCTTTTCTTATGGAAAAATTTATTGCTCCATGATAACGGCAAAGCTCGTAAATGCAAAAATTGGGATTCCATGGGACAAATTGCAGGTCATGCCCCTAAACCAGAAAATAAGTGTTGCCGGAATCAATGTCACTTGTTATGATGCAAATCACTGCCCAGGCTCCATAATTATACTCTTTGAGCCCCCTAATGGTAAGGTATAGTCCAATTAAATCATGAATTGTCGCTAGCTTTTAATTCTCATAGTCTCTGTTAGTTATCAATTGAGAATCTTCTTCATATGTGTCCAGGCAGTTTTGCACACTGGTGATTTTCGGTTCAATGAGGAAATGGCAAAGAGTGCTTCTCAGTTAGGATGTCATATTGATACCCTTATTCTTGATACAACATACTGTGATCCCCAGGTATTATATCTGTTTACAAGCAATATGTTCTAAAGATAGATGGTGCATTTTTGTATTCTAGTTAGACTGTTTAACACATTCCTTTTATTTGGGCTGATGACATAAATGCTCATTGGCTGAATCCATGGTCTTTGGTTGATGACATAGAGTCTAGATAGATTACCTTATCTCTCTCCATTTCATTTTTGGTCTGCTTTCTCTTCTAGTGAACCACCTAAGTTTGCCTTTTACATCATACAATCTTACTTCTAATAGGGGTCAATCTCATCTTAACTTCTAATTGCTATATTTTCTTACTTCCTACTGATTGAAGCCTCAATAAGCCTTTATAGCTATAAATGAGTCCTGTAAATTAGATTTAGCTCAATACCCTGTTGATTTCCTCAACTATAACTTTCTTACTTTCTCGTTTGACCCATTTTGAAATTGATTATCCTAGATCTACACAGTGCCATTCTGTTAACTGTATATACAATATATATTGGTGTATTCTAGTACTTGTTTATTTATCATCTTGTTAATATTTTTCTATGTGAAGAAATTCATGATACTAATTCTTTTTTCTGTGATACTGTGATGATAGTTTACTAGGCTAGAAATATTCTTAATATATTGTTTGATTCTATATTTCTACATAAAATATTCTTTACATTGGCAGGTTAGTTTCTCCAACTAAACAAATTTGTGTTCACTTTGCAAAGTCATTTGAATTTTCTACTCTGCTCATGCTTTGGCTTTTTATCATGTTGGTGCAATTCATTCATTTCAAAGCTTTGAAATACACATACATTGTGGAAAGATAGTGTTTGCCTAACTGAACCCAGCGCCAGGAATCCCACTTATGTTAATTGATGTAAATAACATAGCTTTAACAAACAATTCTTTCCATGGCTCTCTGGCAGTACAATTTTCCAAAGCAGGAGGTGGTTGTGCAGTTCATCATTGAAGCAATTCAAGCTGAGTCTTTCAACTCCAAAACCCTGTTTCTAATTGGCAGTTATACAATTGGTATGATATCTTTCTCGGTAACTTCGTCTCTCTTGTTCCATTTCTTCCTCTCATTAATCCCTGTTTATTCGCATGAATAGGGAAGGAGAGAGTCTTTTTAGAAGCAGCTCGTGTCCTGCGCAAGAAGATCTATGTTCCTGCTGCAAAACTTCGTCTCTTGGAGTGTTTGGAGCTGCCAGCAGAAGATATGCAGTGGTTTACACTAAATGATCGTGAGAGCAACATACATGTTGTACCTATGTGGACAATTGCAAGCTTCAAACGGTTGAAACAACTTTCATGTCAATATGCAGTAAGTGACCAAATATTTGTGATTTACTTACACGTTACACCTGCTCTCTTTGAATTATATGCTGTTATCTTACCGGATAATTAATGCCCTTTCCCATTGAGTTGAACTTAAGAAAGGTTGCTTGACTCACTGTTTTTTGGGGCAATTTTTTTGGCTGTGTATTTTTTTACAGGAAAGGTTCAGTCTAATAGTTGCTTTTTCTCCCACTGGTTGGACTTTTGGTAAAGGGAAGAAAACTGCAGGACGTGCAGGGAGAAGGTGGCAGCAGGGTACTATTATAAGGTAATACTTCGTATTTCTATAATATTGTCCAGATTATCATGGCCAATCTAGCTATGGCCTTTGTGAGGATGCAGAAGCTATGAAGGGGTTGGTGTCAACCCTTGCATACCCCTCTGTCAACCTATCCCTAACAATTTAGCCACCAAGCCAGAACATGACATAACGTTATCTTACCAGATAAGAAAAAAGTAATTTTTCTATCAATAAGATGAACCATGCATCAAATGAGTCAGAGGTCTCACTAGCTCAAAGTTTTAAAATTTGAAATCTAGGAGGCTGGTAGAGTGGTAGCGGTGTAGCACTAGTATCTATGAACTGATCTGCGACACGGTTTGTGGATTTGAGGACATGTATATCACTATATTTGAAAATATATCACCATTGGTTTTCCTTGTCTATTTTTTTTTTTTTTTTTAAAAAAAAAACTTAAATATATCTTACAAGTAAGCTATATTCAAACCTGTTTTTGCTATGTTGTGACGTGTAGGTATGAAGTACCTTATAGTGAGCATTGCAGCTTTGAAGAATTAAGGGAGTTTGTGAAGCTAACTTCTCCAGTCAAAATAATACCTAGTGTCAACAATGAGAGTGAAGCCTCTAGTAATGCGATGATTGAGCTCTTACTGTCGTCATCAGACGATGATCCAGAAAATTAACAAGCAGATCTAATTGTATGTAAAGTGAACCAGTAGCATGAATGATTGTCTTACAGGCTGATTAAGTTGATATTTTGGGTATATCAGGCTTATGTGGTGGCAAGAGAACTCTGTAGTCTCTGGGATATGTTATCGGTTGGCAGAATCAATTGCTCGTCAATGTTTGCCTGTTCTGAAGGTCATGAATGGGGGCAGGTGCAAAACAGTTGCATACAAGGTGTGGCCACTTTGCAAGATTAGATTTGTTGCTCTCATCCTTTGTTGCATGTTATCAGCGGAATTTTCAGGGCGTTGTAATATAACAAAAGATTGGCCTAGTTGTTTTATAAGGGTGAAAATTGAAATAAATTTTCAATGTAATGGATGTAGAGGATATGTCATGTGATTTCCTTGGAAATGAACGTGAAAAACTAAGTGTATGTAATTTTGTATCTCTGGATTTATCCAATCAAGTAATGGAAATGATTCGACAGTTCTGGACTTCTGGTATTATAGTTATGATTTTTTTGAAATCATTTTAATCGATTGAAATTAATTTGATGTTGCAAAGGGCATTTACTTATATCAGTTTAATCGAATATGAGTGTTTGGAGAATTGTAGTAGTCATAAGAAGTTAATAACAGTTGTAAACATTTTAACTTCATACGAAGTATATTATGCTCAAATAACAAGATGAGAAACAACCAATGTAGGCGATGTTATATACGTAGTAGTTTTGCAAAATACAAATTACTTTGTAAGATATTACTTGGTTACTCAATGATTTTTACACTTGTTTAAGTGATTAACTGGTGTAAATTATGGCAGAGATCCTTGAAGAATTCTTTTTCTTTGTTTGTAAGATTAGCATAATGATCCTAAAAAGCTGGTCGGATACAATAATTTGAGAGGCCTAGTTTTTTGCATTACAAAGTCACACTAGAATTATTGTCCAAGAGATATGAGCTATGTTCAAATTTTATCAATTTTCTTGTTTTTTTAATTAATTTGTCCAAGAGAAATGAGCTAGTTATATCAATATTAACTTAAGCTAAGATTGAACCTAGCCAATAACCCTTTGGGTTGGTTATTGAGAGAGAAAATCTAGAAAAATAATAAAAAAATGAAAATGAAATTTTTGGAGAAAAAACAGCAATAACTCAGTTATACAAACAATAGATTATCATTGTTTTGTCATTGAATAAAAATATTGGCCTTGTTTGGCAATTGACTGTTGGCTGTCGGTTGGTTTGATTGTTTTTTTTTTTTTTTGTTGGTGGTTTGATTTTTTATTGGTCTGAAAATATGTTTGGTAAAATTGGTTGTTGGATGTTATTAGTAACTTAGGTGGTCAAAAGCCAAAAGCTACTCAAGTAGTTTTTTCATTTTGGCCTAAAAGCCAATTTTTCAGCTGGCTGAAAAAGCTATTTACTAAACACAAATTTTGAATGTTTGACCAAATGAAAAAGCCAAAAGTCAATGAAAAGCCATTAAGCCTATTATCTTGTTGATGATGTGGTAAATGGAGGTTATGACACATATTTTTTTTTATCAACGACCAAGTTTTATTCACAATTTTAGCAGGTTGGGTATCAACTTGAAAAATCGAAAAAATTCCTCCAATAACCTGATGGGTTATTTACGGTTGTCGAGTAATCAGTTTAGGTCAAGTGGGTCGGGGTTTTTTTAACACCCCTATAGGCCTAGAGTTAACAATAGACTATAGACCTTTTGCCCTTTTGGTGTCCTTTGTTGACCACAACCCAACCTCTAGAGTCCAGACTTGCAACCATATGGTTTACCGCCCAAAGCCTTCAAAGCAAGCAGCCTCATCTTCTCTGCTCACAACCCAATAACGCTCTCTGCTACACTACTCCATTAAAGGGTTCAAGCTCCAAGCTTCATACTCCACTGAATTGCAACAAGGTCAGACCTTTGGTTAGTTATTATCTGCTAATTTCAATTTTTAATACTATATTTTTGCCGCTAAGTTTATTATGTTATCGTCATTCTCTTAATTTTCGAATTATCCAGCAATTTCATTCAATTTTTCTGTCTTTCTTAGAATCAATTTTCATACCCTTCATAAAATTTTACGTAATTATTTTTGCCCATTATCTTGTTTGGAAGGTTAGTGTTTGTTGATTGTAAATTTGTAATTATTATTGTTTATTTTTTTGTAGAATTATGTTTTATGCCCTTGAATTGTTTCATACTCTATGTTTTACACTTAATATTAATTGATAGGGTTTCAATTGAAATGAACAAAAAAAATAGTGATTGTAGTGGGTACTTTATACTTGATATTAGTAGTGATTTTTTTTTTTGAATGTGTAATTACCTTAGTGTGTTGGGGATAATATTACAATGACGACAACACCAAAGCCTTACTCCCAAAATGATTTGGGGTTGACTTACATAAATCGTCAGAAGGAATCGTACGAATATTAGAATTTAGTTTCTATTCCCTACAATGTATATCTGATTGAGCTCATTCTCTGATGAATTTTTTGCTGCTATTCTTTTTTTTTTTGCTGCTATTAATTCAAAAGAAAAGTTGACAAGTAACTAATTTGATAGCTTTCAACAGGCAGATAGTGTTGGCATGAGTTTATGGCTTGCTATCGGTTTTCGCATCTTCATGTCTACTCAAGGCCAACTGGTTGCTTAGGAAAGAACTTTCTTATTCACAGTGTTGGCAGTAAGCTTTGCAAATCACATGTATTAAATTTCCCTCCAATTTTCAATGCTAAGGTAATTCACCTGGTTTGGTTGTGAATTCTGCTCTTTCCTTTACAATGTGGAGTTTCTGTGTGTTTTTATGCTATGTTGCACAGAATTGGATTTAGGTGTCATGTTTGACACGGTGTTGGATCCTTCAACACTCCAGATTTTATATAATTTCTGTAAAGCCACTATATATATTTGGGTTCATGTTGTATTGAAGTGTTGGAGGATCTGACACCCGACACTTGACGTACAATAGGGTGTCGAAGTAACAGATTTTATGCATTCTTTTACTCAGATTTATTCTGATATTTTTGAATAAGAGTGTATCCTAAGATTTAGTGAGCATCCAACTGATTGATTCTTGTTGATTTAACAATTACCAACTTTCTTTGTAGGGGTTTTCCAAGTTACTTTTCCATTCTGGAAGAGATATTACTAGATTACCCTTTGTGTCTTCTGGTAGCAATGTGGAAACTTCCTTGCAAAATGAGCGAGGGATTGGGCAACGCAAATATATGCAATTTGTCAATCCCAATGTTGCTGCACTAAGTGAGGCTCCTTCAAATGGTAGGGTGATGCTCATTGATGGGACCGCTGTTATATACCGAGCCTACTACAAGCTTTTAGGTATATTTTTCATGCACTTTTGTTTATGTGGGCAAAATAACTGCTTCTTTTTTAAGTATATATATGCTTTCAGTTATTTGTAAAACATTGATTTGAATTCTAGAAAGAAATAACTGTTGGCTAACTGTGCTTTAGTATTGTAATTTGGTTCATGTGCTGAACAGCATCTGTTACTACTTATATCTTATGTATGCTATAGATTAGTTGTGAATACTATTCTTAAGTTTAACTTCTTCTCAACTGTTCTTTTTTCTCTTTCTCGCTTACTGTACTCCCACTCCTTAAAAAAAAGGTCTAGGATAAATGAGTTCGGGACTTGCTAGATTTTGTATTTTATAGCTTTTTTTCCCTCCTTTTTTCCGTGTTCCTTGTCTACCTATCTGAATAAACATTTCATGCCATGGTTGATTGCATGATGGTAACAGGAAAACCATTAGGACTCTGTATTTATTGGCGATTCAGTAATATTCCTCTAATCTTTTTAGATCATAAGTCGTAACATACTTTACTATTAGTTATAGTTCTTTGTTAAGTCAGCTGCATTGCAAGCATCAAAGCATTTTTGAGGGCCATTTTGCCCATTGCTCAACTTTCTGTACTGGGGCTTATAATTCCATAACATAGTGAAGTATATGTGTTGTATGAGCAACGTCAATTAGCCATGCTTTTCGCTAAAATTATCAAAAATTTTATGAATCTCAGTCAATTTTAATCTGTGAATATGTGAATAACCCAAAAACGCATTCCTAAGAACAATTTTGATTGTTGCATTACTAAATGTTTTTATTTATTTATTTATTTATTTTAATTATAATTTACTTTTCTATCCCACATGTTTGCTGAGGTTTCCTTGATTTGGGCATGTTTTGTAACTGTAGAACAACTAGGATTGGTTGTTTTACATTGAATAATCTTTTCATGTTCTTCTAGCAAAATTGCACCATGGCTATCTTTCAAATGCTGATGGCAACGGAGACTGGGTTCTTACAATATTTGCCGCTTTATCTCTTGTAAGTTTTGTCACTCTCCCTTTTTGCTGCTCATGTATTATCGGGATAGTAGTTCATCTTTATTTATTTATTTATTTATTTATTTATATTCCTGGCACTATCTTGCTCAAGTATTTCCTGTCATTGTTCCTTCACGTCTCTCTTTATTTTAATCAACATTATATTGGCGACCTTTATCTAATTACTATGTGATTATTATATTGTTTTTGAGTGTCTCAGCATGTAGGTTGAAATGCATGCTTCTATTTAATGCTTATTTCTAATTGCTAGTATTTGTCTGTCTTGCAGATAATTGATGTGCTTACATTCAATCCTTCGCATGTGGCGGTAAGGCTTTAATTTTATTTATTTATTTATTTTTTTTTTCCAATTTCATTTAGTATTATTCTGTTTGATTTTACGTAATAATGCTTTCTTAGTAGTTGGAAGTTAGATTAAAAGTGCTTTATGTGAACAAAATTTTAATGTCAAAAGCATGCAATTCCTTGATATCTATGACCTGTCGATCTTGACAGTCACATAAACTTGGCATGATAATTATTCTACATCATTAGTGCAGTAGCCTCCACAGCTCGAATATTCATTCTTACACTCAGATTATAGTTTCAAATTCTATTCTGGATGTATCATGGGTTTATGGAGCATAGTATATGGTTTTAGAAAAAAACACTGCGAAATTTTGGGCAATGCAAGAAAGGAAGATGGCTTTAATAATAAGGAGCTAGACCTAAATTTTCTACACCTTAAAGCATTAACATTTCACATCAAAATTTACCTTATTCTGTATGTTAAGATCAAGTTAATACATTATTCTACACTTGGAAGTTGACTAGTGCAAATTATAGCCAATCATCTCAATTTATGCACTGAGATAAAAAGCTTTGCAATACTTAATGCACACACTGACTGCCTCTCTTTCTTTCTGCAGCTTCTATATTTTCTGCTTGGGGAGGGGGGGGGGGTGTTGAACTTATTATCATCTCTGAGCTCATCCACTTAATGTTTATCTTCATCATGATGTCACCTCAAATCACCGAAGTCAATGACCAAATTGAAGCTAATTCAATTACATTTGGGAATATATTTAACATAAAAGCATGTGACATGATTACTTGTTGTGTGTCAAACATGACCATGTGAATCAATTTTAGTAACTATACAGTATACACTACCAAAGGATGATGCTCTTTATGTTTTTTGCTTCTAGCTTGAGTTATGGAATTAAGGTAGATTGATTCATAATGAGATTTTGAGAACTAGGAAAATGATACTGTACATGTTTGTAGAAGAATTTTGTTGTTTCTCAGCAGAAATTAAACACTTTCTATAGCAGTTTTGTGTAGTGATGGCCATTCTTAGAAAGTGAGAAAAGCATTAAAATATACTGTGGTGGTATCTGATGGTGCCAAGTATAGAAATGTGTTAACTTTGTTGCAAGTCTTTGAGTCAACTAAGGGATGTGAATTTTGAAGTACTCGATTGGTTTGGATATATCTACTCTGACTGGAGTTGATTGGGATGATTATTCTGTGGATAGGTTATCAATTGGCAGGCTGCAGTATTTGGACTGTTACTTTTATTTATTCGGGACTTTGGTAGTGACTTTAGAGGAAAATCCTAGACGAAGTGCTGATCGTTATACTCTGTTTGAAATCAATCTTGCGAGGATGATGTGTGGGAGGGCGCTTATATCTTGTTTGGGGATATAATGCTTACTAAATCGCGTGTTCATGCTTCATGCCTCTGTTGCATGGAAACTCTATTTGGACTCAGGTCGCTTCCGAAAAGTTCAAGTTCAAAATGTGTTCAAAACGTGGCAAAATTTTTCAAATGTGGGGGAAACCTTACATGGCAAGTAGAGGAGAGGAAACGCCAGATAAACTTCTTTTCGAAGGAGGAATTGTGTTTTTTTGTCTGGGTTTACAGTATCTAAATGAAAAGGCAGTAGAGGAAGGGAAATAAAGAAAAATCCATAATGGGTGATTTGATCTGAAAGAAACAAAGCTTGGGAGGGAAAAGAATCTGCGATGAAAGAAATTGTGTTTTCTTATGCAAATTCTTTTCTTGTCTCAAGCTACATGTGGAATTCAAGGTCTCTATAGATGGTGATGGCTTTTGTTTGCAATGGCTGTTTCTAATAACAGACTCAAAAGTCAATACTAATTACAGCCAAACAAAGCCATGCCTCTGGATGCTTGACTTATGACTTATGTTTCTTGGGTGTTGGGAGAATACCTCCATCTGCATTAGGTTTGGTCTTAATTGAACAAGCATTCTTAAGTTTTTTGAGTTGGATGGGATTTGTGCAGCTATGATCATAGGGCATCTGTAAGTTTGAATTGTTGATTTCAGTAAAGATAAAGGAAGGAAATTTGCAATTATCTGCTTGCGGGGCCATCTTGTGGGTGTTGTGGTCAGAGAGGAAATAGGATTTTGACAATAGTTTTATTAATGAATTGAAATTGTGACAAAGTTATTTAAGTGAAGAAAGGATGAATCTGAATAACAAACGTATTCAGAAATAGTAAAAATATTCAAGGTTTTGAAAGGCTTGATTCTCTTGCAATTCGTATATACAAACTGAAATTAAAAGGAACTCGCAATAAATTTCTTCCTACTTTCTCTTACCTTAACCACTGTTTATTGGCTTTGATTCTCTCATCTTGTTTTTCATGCTACTTCTAATTGAATTATGATGACAATTTGTAATATGCCCTCTCGTATTCCCGAATTTTTCAAAAGTTTTCTCTTTTATATAGAGGACTATTTATTTTTGCGTAACTCTCGTATCACAGAAGATAAAGCTCCCCCTATTTTTTTTTTCTTTCTAAATAAAGTGGTTTTTGTTGAAAAGTAATTATTTAAGAAGCTCCTACAAAGTGAGTACATTTCAGAAATTTGATTCTGAAGTTGAAACTTTTATGTGGTTTGTATGTTCTGTCGCCATCCTCTAATATGTTGAACTTAATTTGTGCAGGTGGTGTTTGACCATATTGGTGAGGTTTCCAGTCTGGCATTTTCATGTCTTCAGTTGTAGGATGTTAGCATATCTGGGGCTAAGCTTGTGTCATCATATCTTGTATTTGTGTTTCTTGAATCAAAATCGAGATTTACATGAGTCTTGATGTCTTGATTGTGCACAATCTGTAGCTTCTTGACAGCCAGCTGATTGTAGCTTGCTTCTATATGTTGTTGAGGGGGTATGTGTAATTCTGATTGGTAGTGGTTTATTATGTTTTCTAATGATGCTATGGATGCAAGTTAAGAGACCGTAGTTTAGCTCCTTAATGACTGTAGATGGTTGGCTATCTAGAATATTTTGGGAAATTTGCTGTTGTTAATGGGGTGTGTACATGAATGGAAGTCATGTACGTTATACAATTGAATCATAACCTTGCTATGAAGTTGCACTAAATTGGTCAAGCTTTTTTACACGTCTCTAAGTCAGCTGTACCACTCTGTGATGTTTCTGATCTTTGACTAAAAAGGGAGGATGCTCTTGAATTTACTCTCCGTATGGAAGTTGTTATGCTCTTGTTAGATGTATTTGAGCAGAGAGCTGTCTTTTCTTTGAACTTTTGTGTTTCTGGGAGTTGGACAAAATTCATGATAATGTATGTTAACCAAAAGAAAATGAAGTAATTCCCTGAAGTGTTACCCTCAACTTCTTTATTCATTATAGTACAATACAATGGGTGGAGACTCTGGGTGTGTTGAGTTTATCTTCAGGCCATGGTGGGTAAATATTTATTGGAATTTGGCTGTGAGCTGGAAGCCAAATAGAGACACAATGGGAAGTTGATCTGATAGGTCAAGCTGGCAAAGTTGTCTAACTGATTTATCAGTTATGAATTATAAATTTTTGGTGTATATAATTGTTAACTCTGATTTGAAAATCGTTTAGTTGCCACCAACTTGCTGAGGAATAAATTAGAGAAATAAGATAAAATGTGTCTTCTGTTATTGTTTATCTTATTAATATGATCGCTTCAATGATCAACTTCTGCTGTATATAATTTAAGCATGGCTTACAGTGTGCTATTGTGCTTTAAAAATCTGTAATATGTGTGACTGCCAGACTTAGGTGACTTGAAGTTATATAATAATTGAATCAATACATTATTTTATTAACCTATATCCTTTTGAAACAGAAATATCCTAATCATATAATTGAAAGAACTATTTTCATTTTTTTGATAGAGCTTTCTAATTTCAGGATATTCATTTGCTGAAACTACTAATTCCTCAAAACAAAGCTTAACATTCAAAGGTATGCTTTCAATATATATATATATATATATATATATATATATATATATATATATATATATATATTTTAAATCTTCATGTCTCTGGTCTCCCTGATGGAGAAGCAGTGGAAGGGGTGCAACTGTGCAATTGTGCCCGAAGGGAAAAACTAATTTGTAATTATCTTAATTGAAATTCTGCAACATCTTGTAGAAGTTTGGATTGTAAATGACTTCGAATCTACCATACATTTCCTGTCATTTTTCAAATCCTTTTTTCTTTTAATTCATTTCTGAAAAGATTATTCTTTATTCCTATCATTTTTAGTTTTGAACCAGAAAGAAAGAAGTGAGTGATATTTGGCAATCGTATAGGCACCACTACATCTCACAGTCCTTTTTATCTATCCCCGTGTATATAAGACTGGTCCATTCCACAGTATATTAGTGTTTGCACAAGTGTCCCAAAATATTGTAACCATATTTGCATCTGATTTTTGAATTAGAACAGTGCAAACTGAACGATTACATCTGCAGTGATATGTTTTGATTAATGTATTTGAGTGTGTGTAGTAATATCCAATTGGCACCCTTTATGAATATGCTTGGTGGTTGCTTCATTTAAGAGGATTGGGGGAGGACTAGAGGAGGTTAGGTCGATGTTAACTCAAGCTAGGTTTGTTTCCTCTGTGCAAATGAATGTTGGGAGAGAATCCCTAATTTTGTGATGCTTGACCTGTACCATTGTTTTTTAATCAGTTTGGGTAGTTAAGGCTTTACTTTGTTCTACTTTGAGAGTATTTTGATTTTGTACTATGTGATGTAATTGAATGATCGAGAATTCCTGTAGTATTAGTTTTTAAGAAAAAGTTGAAGATTGTCAAGGAGAAATGGAGAATTGATCAAGAAGAATCTGAAGGATTGAGTATTCTTCCATTAAAAAAACTAGATACATTTGTGGATGTCATTGATCAGTGGGAAGTTCTAATTTGTTGATTGCATAATTGTTTAAAATGACCAAATGCAGATTATTATGTTGTTTGTGGTGTACCAATATGTGGGCCCATGAAGAAAACTTATCTATCTTACCTATCAAATAGTACTTTTCAGTGAAGTAATTCTGTGTTATTCTGTACAGAATGTAAAAATATGTTTAAATTTTTCTTATTAAGGGTTATCTTCCATTTTGGTAATTGTGTGGACTGATGGTTTTAGCATTCTTTTGGTGAAGGCACAAATTTTCGCCACACCATGTATCCACAGTATAAGAGCAACCGTGGTCCTACACCTGATACTGTGGTTCAAGGACTTCAGTATCTAAAAGCATCCATCAAGGCTATGTCAATTAAAGTAATTGAGGTAACCAAATTAGTGTTGCAGCTGTAAATTTTAGATGAGTACTCTCTCCATATTGCCTTATTGTTGCCCTTTTGAAACCAGGTACCAGGTGTTGAAGCTGATGATGTTATAGGAACTCTTGCTTTAAGGAGTGTTGAGTCTGGTTACAAGGTCAGTTCCTGAGAAATAGATTGGAAATCTGAATTTTATCTAGCTGAAGTACATGGCTAATGCTGTTTACTTAGTATGTTATAATTGATTGAAGTTTTATTTAAAAACTAGTCTGTCTGTCTGTCACTAATCTGTCTAGATTGATTATGGATGAAGTTTGTGTAGTAAAGAGTTATTTCAACTGAAATTCAAGTAATTGTCTCCTGTGGAGCATTGCAGGCTTTGCAGCAATATTAATGAAGCCCTCTGTGTAAGTTTACGGTTTTAACTACGATAAAAAAGTTAACAAGTCACTGAGAATGCGACATTTGGCTCCAATTATACCAGAATCACAAAAAGTGATTAAAATTATTTAAATGCAGATTTTTTCCCTCAAAAGTTTGCTGCCTTATTTGCTTCCACATATAACACTATTCATTGGGTTTCAAAAGGAACTAAATACCACCATAGGGAATAGGGATCCCAATTTTCACTTTCCCCTTTTCTAAACCAGCACATTTCTGGGCTCACCAGGTTGCATTAAAGATTTGAATAAGAACCAAAGAAAAGGAACCAGGGGGTTAGAAAAATAAGATAATACTATCATCTTACCTCATTTTAACACTAGCTGCACGCCTGCACCAACTTTCATGGCTAAGTTATTTGATTATTCTTAGCAAAGAACTTATATGCGTCTCATGTATTGCTGTGTATAATATGAAAGACTCAAAGCTGATCTAGTTAGACCTGGCAAACGGGTCGTGTCATGTCGTGTCGTGTTCGGGTCATATATAAACGGGTTGGAGACCCCCTTAACACTGACACGACCTGTTTAATAAACGGGTCAGGAAGGCTGAACACGAACACGACCCGTTTAATAAACGGGTAACACGAATTTAACACGTGTTACCCGTTTAGTTAAACGGGTCGTGTTCGTGTAAAAAAAGAAACTAAACCTGTTTAAAGAAAAATCACCTAAAATAATAATTAATGGAGTTTAATATTCAATGTTAAACCACCTTAATTTTACCCAAAATATTACAGACCTGTAAATCTAAAATTCAAAACATTACAACAACTTTCAACTGATTTCCAAGTTCCAAAAGCTCTAAATTCATCCAGTCATGCACCAACTCAAACAAATTCCATTGCTTCACTTGATTTAGAATCCACATTATAGCTTTAAAATTAAAGAAACAAAAAATAACATTTCAAACACAAATTACTGCTAGGAGAGAATTAGATAATTGAATGAGAAGAAAAGAAACAAGAGACAAAGACCATGAAATACTACTATGGCAGCCTTGATGTTGATATGAAAGAGACGAAATCAAAGAGTCAGAGAGTGATTGAGAAAGAGTAAAGTGAGAGGAGGGTTTAATAATTTGTTTATATATGTCGGCTATGGTAGTGAATGAGATTAGGTTATTTTCACTTTTGGGCCATTTTCACTTTGGGCTGGTTAATAGTGTAATAGAAGTTATTTTTTCTAAATTATTAAATGTGTAAACAGGTTGACCCAAACACAATCCGTTTATTAAACGGGTTAACTCGTGTTAATTTAGTGTTACAATTTTCAACACTAACCCAACCCATTTATCTAATCGTGTCGTGTCGTGTTGACCCGTCTAACTAAACGGGTCGAAACTCCTCAACACTAACCCACTTTTTTCGTGTCCGGTTCGTGTCGTGTCAACTTTTGCCAGCTCTAGATCTAGTGACTGCCTATACATATTGCATCATGACAGCCTCTTCATTCATTTGCAACTTTGCAATTCTCTAATTTTTGTTAGCATATATTTTTGTAAGATTGAAATTTTCTCCATTTCTGATTTAGTACTAATTACTGTTGTGATAGGTCCGAGTTGTCTCACCAGATAAAGATTTCTTCCAGCTTCTGTCACCTTCCCTGCGTCTTTTACGAATTGCTTCACGTGGAGATGAGTTAATATTACTTTTGTCTTGACTTTAAAAACACTTTTCTTTCCTCTAATATCCTCGCTATAAGAGCTGATCATGCATGTCATGTCATGTGATTCTTGATTGAAATTGTATTCCAATGGCTAATAGTTTCCTCATGTCGTAAAAATTGGTCAAGATTTGTTATTGTGAATACCTTTATTGGCTTCATCATTATGTTTTGGTCAACATTGTCCCTGCTTCAAGATTTTTCTGTGTTGAGTGACCAAAGCACATGCAAATAGTTTATTTTACCTTTGGAGGGGTTGAAAGATTTTGTGATCTGTAATGGACTCAGGCTTGCTGGACTATCACACACCATTAACACAGAATACAGAGGGAAAGATCGAATCTTTGATTGAAAATATTGAAATACAGGGATTTGTACAATCTTGAAACTTCTGTTACTTTTCTTTATATGGAGATTTTTGAACAAACCAGGGGGGTCATATGACATTTCCATTTTAAATATACTGTAAATGATATCTATTCAACTGTCTTTTCTTTGGCCCTTTCAGTTTTTTATGCTGTTATTCACATGATTTGGTGCTCTGGTTTGTGTAGAATGGTCTCATATGGCCTGGAGGATTTTGCCAAAAGATATGGAACTCTAAGTCCTTCTCAGTTTGTTGATGTTGTTGCACTTGTTGGCGACAAAAGTGATAACATACCAGGTTGGTTTGGGATGTTCTAGACTCACCAAATCTTTATGAAAGACTAGATTTCAATTTGTTTTGGTGGTTGATATAACGTGATTCTGAAATTTTGAGTCATTCCTGACACAGGGGTAACAGGAATAGGGGAAGTAAATGCTGTTCAGTTGATAACAGAATTTGGATCTTTGGAAGAATTATTGTCTAATATTGATAAAGTGCGAGAAGGCCATATAAAAGAGGTATGAGTTTGTTTGACTGAAAATCTAAGGGCAAGTTACTGATATATGTTTGACTGTGTGTTCATAGACTAGGTTAAAAACATGTTATTTGCATGAGATACTTGAACTGTCTTTGGCAACCCACATGTGAACATTGTTTTGCTGATTGCTCTTCCTGGAAAAGATACAGAAGAAAATTTTTATTTAAATTTTGGATATGAGCAAACTTCATCATGCAGCTACTGGTTTAATGGTTTCTTAAGGGAGGGAGGGGGCTTGTGGGATTATGAAAAGAAGGTATTGAGATAATTTTAGGTGGGGTAGAATAATAGACTATTGGAAACATTAACTCTAGATATAGAAAATCAAAACGGCAGCTGGCAATTTAATTGTTGTTAAGATTATCATTCACTAATACCACCTTCGTTTCATTATGTTCTTAACATTTACTATTTGCACAATAATTTAGGCAAAGGAGAGAGAGTATAAAATGGTGGGTCGCACTAAGTAAAAGGGTGGGAGGAATTTAAAAGCGAGAAAGTGGATGATCGAGGAACTATTGGGGACTTTCTAACCAAGTATAGGATTTAAGAAGATGTCAGGATATAAACCTGCAAAACTTCTGCCAATGGTGTGAAAATACACATAATTTTGCATACCTTACATCTTTGCTTCATGTGATGAGGATATTTTAGGTGGATAAACTTTCTCAGCTGCTTCTGTCAGTTGCTTATTTGATTTCTAAGTAGCTGCCCTATTTAGTTATTAGACTCTAATGCAGTCTTGTTAGTGCTATTCCCAAATTAGTTATTTGATTTTTTAGGGTGGATAACCCCCTTTTTTTTTTTGTACAGAAGAGGCTTAATTATGCTTTTGTTTCCTTGCAAGGAGAACCTTCCTAGTGCTAGTGTCCTAAAAAATTGCGAAGTTTGAAACTTGAAAAGAATAAAAGGAAATCGGATAATTTTTTTTTTTCTAAATTCAAATTTTAAAATTCCTTTTGGTTTCTGTTGTGGAAATCAGTAGCAGGAACTAGATTTGGGTTCTGGTATGTTCAACTGGTACTTGTCTAATAATTATTATCTATAAGGACATTAAATTGTGTGCTGGAGTGTGCTTTATAGCTTTTTTTCCTTAATATTGATACATTTTTCTTTGTTTTTGTTTTACTGCATGTTTAAGTATTCACTTCATTCCTGTTTTGACCGTGCAGGCACTGATATCAAGTACTGATCTAGCTCTCATGAGCAAAGAATTGGTAATTTATTCATCAAAGTTTTTTTGTATTGAATCGCTTTATGTGTGGGGATAACCTTTTTTACTTCACTGATGACAATTCTTTTCTATTTAGTTGAGAGAATTAGTGAGAGAGAATATTGTGGTGGCTTTCTTCTATTGACATATGATTGTCTTGCAGGCAATATTGCGTTCTGATCTTCCTCATTACCTTGTTCCATTTGCTACATCTGATCTGATATTTCATAAGCCAGAGGTTTGTATAAATATCATCATTGAAGTTTATGTTTTGCTCACTATAACCGTCTTTGGCAAAGTAAGCTCAGTCAAGTGAAATGGTGGTTACCACTTACCATGCCTTAAATAATCACTCGAAAGTGTTAGATTATGCAGGAGGATATTACCTTTGTAAATATGTCTAATCCAGAGTAATACTCAAATGTGTGTTTTGGAGGATGTGATTCTTGTGAATGAGCAAAGTATTGAAGTTATTGACAGACAAAGAGAGTAATTTAAGTCTAAAATGTAGCTTGGTGTTAAATTATCGGACTCTCCACTCTTTTGGTCTTTTAATAGAATTCTTTACTCTACCCATCTCCACTCTTTTGGTCTTTTAATAGAATTCTTTACTCTACCCATCATGGTTCTCGTTGAGACGGTTCCAGTTGCTACTAGCAATTGATATGTAAAGAGGCTCACCTGTGTACATGTAGGAAAACAATATAGCTGTTGAATGTCCTAATATATATTGTATAATTACAGGATGATGGCGAAAAATTCACAGCGCTGTTGAATGCAATCAGTGCTTATGCTGAAGGCTTTTCAGCAGATCCTATCATCAGAAGGGCACTCTACTTGTGGCAGAAACTGGAGAAACAGTAACAGAAAAACCAAATAGGCAAAGGCGGTTTATTTCAACCTGCTGCAAAGATCAGAAGTTGCCGATACATATCTTCCAGAGTGTTCAGGATTTACTGATTTATTTTTAGGCAAATTCTAGGTGTAAATTACCTTTGTAAATACATTATACATCTAATCCAGAGTGTACAATGTACATACATCATTATATGACCTGATACTTATTTAAAACAACAATATTAGTCTTCATGATTTGACAATTTTTCATAAAATGTGTGCACAGTTTCTAGATCTAACTTTTTTTTTTTAACTGTACGGAAAACCTACATTATAAATTAACTTCTTTCTTTGAAGCATGTTTACACTGTTATCAAGTTCTCAGACAGTTCTGAGTCACTTTTGGTGGCACGGTTTGTGAGCATTTCAATTTGCTTAATAGGCTGTTTCTATCAATCTGTGAATTTACTGTCCTGTCTCTTTCTTCGTCTTTCAAGTTTCACAGGTTTACAAGGGCTGTCCTTAGCCTTCAGTGGCCAAGTTTCAGCCCAAGTGGGAATGAGAATGTGGTGTGCAAGGCAGCTCCAACAAACAAAGTGTCTAGCTAGTAGAGCTCACTTTGTTGTACTTTGTAAACTCTTGTTGATTAATGACTTAATGTATGGTTAAGCTTATGTAAAAAAAAAAAAAAAAGTTCTCAGAGGCTTGCTGCAAAGAAATATCGTTATCCCGTGTCAAAAAAAATTAAAAAATAATAATAGAAATATTGTCCTTCTGTTTTCAAATAAACAAAGATGGTAACCTTAACACTTTAAACTGCACATAATTTTAGCACCACCAGCAGACACAAAGACTGCAGAAAATTGTTCTCATCTTGTTATAGCTGCTAAATCATATAACAAAACATTTTTTACATCATAGAGCCTTCTGGCTACGAAGCTGGACTAAAGGCATCCTTTGGGCACAAATTTAGTTAAACACACCCATATTTAGATGTTGAAGCCCAACTGTATGAAATGCTAAAATACTACTGCTTCTGAGTACAAAATCTGTTACGCTTCAATTTCAGCAATAGCAGTGTCACTCTCAGTTTCAGCACTAGCAGTCTCACTCTCAGTTTCAGCACTAGCAGTATCACTCTCAGTTTCTTCATTAATAAGTTCCAGTTCAACATTGAAGCCAAATGCATTTCCAGGCACGAAAGATTGTTTAAGCTCATCTTCAGTCTGAGTTGTGTTGATCTTGTCATCCTTCACAGTTAGCTTCTCCTGTGTGAAATAAAAGCGCATATATAAGCAATAGCTATCAAATAAAAAACTTTAAATACTGTAAGTTGCAAAAATCAGTTTCAGCTACTTGCCTCCTCCACATAACCTGCCACTGCTGAGGTGACAATTTCCCGAATAACAAAATTTGTAACACGGTTTCTACCAATTATATCCAGAAGTAAGTTCTTGGGAACCTGCACCATTCTGGAGATCAGTAACTAATAGATTAACCATTGAGGGGTTTTAACAGAATTGTGAAAGGGAATCACATTTTGTGTTGTACGATAACCTTAGAATCTTAGAAAATTGTGTAGAAAAAGGTTTCACACACAATGACGTCATGTAGAACATCCCAAATCAAAACTAGGATGCCTATATGGTATATGGTATATCATTTTTGGTAAGGAAACAACAATCAAATTTTTACCTTAGCTGTTTTTCCTGGATTTTCCCCATGCAGAAGCAAAAGGAAACAATGTCAGAATTCCTCAGTTCACAAGTTATTAAATCTGCTGACTAACCTGAGAAATTTAATCACAATAGGTAATTGATGATAAAAAATGTAAAATGAATATAATAAAAAATCAAGAGATCACTATAACAGTGAAAAATGCAAATCTACAAGTCATGGTAAAATATTATGCGCAATTTAAAAGCAAGAAGGGTTAAGCATCAAATTAATGAAACATCTATCAGAATGACACAGTGCAGTCATACTAGTACAAAATTATGCTTGCAATTCATTATCACCAAAATTTTACTTGAGTATATGCAGTTGTACTCTTCCAAAATTAAGGAAGATGTACCCCTTTAAAATCGCCTAGGAGGTTAAAATTCTACCAAAAAAAAAAAAGCTATCAATTTTGGAAAAAACATAAAAAGTCCAGCTTCTTGATGACGATATACCAGCACACTTTCAAAGATCTTATGAGTATAACAAATCTCACATCCTATGGTTGATATACACAAATTTATCAAATCACTACTCATTTTCAGCTAAAGAGCTTATAGGCATAGATTTTTCCTTATTATGGAATGAAAAACATGGGATTGCTGAGCGAATACTTATTTCTCTTTACAACCAAAAATTTATCACATCCTTCAGATTTATCTGTACCAAAGACCAAACAAAGTATGACTGAATTTATCAACATTTTGAAATTTAATCACTTGTAGGTGATGAATCCACAAAAATAAATTTCGTGCATGCCTTAATTCACAGAAATGGACATACCATCAATCCTTGATCTTGCAATAAAGGTCAAACAAAACAGTTAGATGCATAAAATTACTAATTTTGACAATACTGTATCGGTTACTATCTTTACCTCCTTTCTGGCGGCGAAACCCAGGAATTGGCGGGGCTGAACGAGTTAAGTTTAACAATACCAAATCAAAGGCTTTCTGTGTATCTTCTCCAGTCAAGTCTACCCTCAACTATAAATACAAAGGAACTTCAGAATTCAAATCTCTGTAATCATATAAATGCTGTGAAGCAAGCACATGATTTAGACAGCAGGCGAAATGATAGTGACTTGCAGATAGACAAAACAAACAAAAGTTCCAAAGTATGTGCCATATTAGATCAATACTACTCTTTATAAAATAAGATTCACAAGAATAGTAAGGCACACAAGCATCAATTACAGTTCATCATTTTAAACAAGCTTTCAACATAGAGCTAACACATAATCTTATGTAAGCGGCTCACTTTGATCTTTTCTGCATCTTCTGATTCAACAGTTATCTCAACACCTTTAAATGTAAGGATACCACCCTTTGAATCTGTCATTGATGTCTCCAAGCCTAAAGCACATTGCAATCTCTTTGTGAGCACAGCATAAGTATAATAATTAGCATTGAATTACACTAAAAAATATGGTAGTTTGATCCAATTAGAATACCACCTGAACCAACTGCAGCGATAGGCTTCAAAACATCTCTGTGATCTCTTCCTCTTAGTTGGCGAACATATGACAGCCTATAACAGAATCACATGGTACATAACTTTCAGATTCTACAACATAGGAAAGCGGAAAATTTCTAGCATTATATAGTTGTACAGCATCCACCACCCTTAACTTGGCTTATGTTCTGCAAATAGCTTAACCAGCTTACTATGAACATAAAACATTCTGCTCATTATATATTTTCAAACTTATTTAGTAAGTGTATTCCTTTGCGTATTTTGCATATCTTACAATGTTTGCAGTGTAAAAATAGCCCGGTCTGATTGTCCAATACAAGAATTTGTCAAACAAACATGGCATACAGCCCTCTCACAGTGAGAGAAGCATTATCACCACCAAAGAAATAATAAGCAAAACGAGAAGTAAAACCCACCTTTCAGTAGATTCTTGTCGGATAGAACAAAATGTAACACATCGCCTTCCTGGGATAGTATAGCCGAAAGCAACATTGAACTATCAAACAAGAGTCACAAGAGAAATACAATTAACTAAATCACACATACATTACTTTATAATACATTACAACTTTCAAACTGTATAATTTTTGTGCAGACATTACTTGTACACAATTCCACATTATTTGGGTGTTAGATAATTTAACAAAATACACTATACACATGCACTTCATATTATTCAAGCATACTATCTGTTTGGTTTAATGCTCCGGTTTGAATAAAACCCGGTACCGTGTCACTTAGTATTTCCCACACAGAATGAAAGCACAGAAGCTTGGTTGGGTCCATTAATTGACCAAATAACACAGCAGTTCCAAATTCAACTATCCAAATTTCAGTTGATTGAAATTGAAATCCTACTAACATGGAAGTATGAGATTAATTAGGTGATAATTTGTTATTTGTTCACACCAATTATAATGCAATTTGGATTGTCAAAGTCAAATAACATAATTTCATACAAAATTACAAAATCATTCCAGCAAAAGTTATGAACTTTATTCAACCCTTGAAATTTTGCAAGTAGCATAAGTTCATAAAATGCAAAAAATTTAATAACCCTTGTGAATTTCATTCAATTAAGGTCATTACAAATTCATCCATTATTATGATGGTGAAAATAAGAACACCCACTTAAACAATTTGGTGCATAATAATGATTAGTAAAAATTGACAATAAAGATAAGGTTGCCTTAATACATTTACAAAAAAAAAAATGAAGAATTGAAAAAAAAAAAGGGGTAGAAATAAAAATTCTTACAATGGAATTGCGAAGAAGATTGGGAATTGGCGAAGAAGAGATGGAAATCGACATATTTGCTATTAGCATTCGTCAAGGTTGTGACTTGTGTTGTGTATACTCTGAACTGAAGTGAACTTGCCTCAGCTAGTTGTGCTCTCTTATGAAAGATATCTTTAGTAGTTGTGCATTTCCTTCTCAAGATACTCCCAGTTTAAAATCTCAACTGCTATTCGTCACTCCCATTTTACCGGGTAACGCTCCCATTTTGACTTGAATGGACAACTATGTCCATTATGCAATTTGTGTTATAAAAGGGACCTTGTTCCCCATTTGGACACATTTCATGATACGGTCCCCTCACATTACGACCTTGCTATCCCGAGCCTCCCAAAATCGGTCCCCACGACCTTAAAACCAAATTAGTCCCCACGATCACCTAATTTTTTTTTTTAAAAAAATAATAATTAATCGTAAAATTTTCCGACGGGTCTTGGGTCATGGACGGCGAGTGGAACATTCGTACGCCGGAAAATGCGTCGGAACATTCTGTAAGTTTTTTTTTTTTTTAATTTTTTGCAAATAGGACATCCGCCTAAAATTTTCGGATGTCCTAGGTACATCCGCCTAAAATTTCCGGATGTACCATGGAACATCCGGAAATTTCAAGTGGAAGTAGGGATCCGCCTGAAAAATCCGGATCTTTCATGGTAGATCCGAAAATTTAAGGCGGATCTACCTAGGGACATCTGGATATTTTAGGCGGATGTCCCTGTTTATTTATTTTTTTTTTTAAAAATGTTAAGTACGTTTATTTATTTTTTTTAATGTTAATTAAGTTTTTTTTTTCGTGGTCTTGTGATTATTGTTGTGATTTAGTATTTGATAATTAATGTAATTTTTTTGTATTAATATGATTATTAGTAATATGATTATTTTTTGTAACATTATTA